CTGTCCGGCTGTGAGGGGAGCACTCTGCAGGCTCCGGGCTCAGAGCCGGGAGGAGACCCTCCCTCGCTCCTTCGCCCGCCCCGACTCCCACTCGCCAAGGCCTGGCGCCGGCAGACCCAGTATTGCTTCCGGCTTCTCCCTTTTCTCTTCTTTTCAAATTTATGTTTAATTGTGAGAAAATGCACACAGCATAAAATTTGTCATTTTAACCATTTTCAAGAGTACAATTCAGTGGCGTTAAGTACATCCACACTGCTGTGCAATCAACCTGCTGAGCTCCTTTTTTCATCTTGCAAACCCGAAACTCCGCTCCCGTTAGACGGCAGCTCCCCATCTCCTCTGCCACCAGCCCCAGGCAGCCACCTTCCTGCTTTCCGTCTCTGCTGGTGGCGATTCTGGGCACTGCCCCCTCTTCTTGAGTGTCTGTGGGCCCCCACCTCCTCTGACACTCGCCCTCCTTCGTCTCTGATCCGATCACCCTTCCCGGACCTTCCATGTTCCCACTCCCAAGGCTCTGCCCCCGTCCTCGCTTCTCTCTCTCCGGGGCACCCTGTCCCTCCCCTGAGCTTGTCCCGAAGCCGCCCACAACTTTATATCCCTTTTCCTGGGCCACAGGTCTGCATTCAGCCACCTCCTGCAGCCGCCTCTCAGTTAGCCCTTCCCCGGCCCCCACGTATCGCAGGGGTATTGCGGACACAGCCCGAAGAGCTCCCTTCCTCACCAGCTGCGCCCCACGGGTCGGCGGAGACCGCCGCGTCACCAGCCACTTCCCTCCTCTCCTTCCCCTCGGTTCCGCACCCAGCTCGGGTCGTGTCCTCACCCTGGCCCGCGGCCCAGCCCCTCCCCGGCCTCCTGCCCCTGTCCTGTCCCCCAGCCCAGGGCTGCGCTCGGCTGCAGCAGGGTCTCTGGACCCGGCGCTGATTCCGCGTTTCCCCTACTGACAGCCCCTTCTGCTTTTCAGCACCCCCGGGACAAAGCCCAAGGCCCCCCGCCTGGCCCTCCCATCCGCGAAGCTCTGACCCTTTCTCCTCTCCCTCCCCCTTCGTTGTGTGTGTGGAGCTCCTGGTCCTCCCTGCCAAGAGCGCGCTTCGCCTGGCGCCGGTGCTCTCCGTCCCCGCACCCGAGCTGCGCGCCCAGCTCTGCTTGGCGGGAGAACAGCCGCGCGCCCTTGCAGCCTCCGCTCAGCCCCTTCCTTCTGACGGCCTGACCGGGCCGCCCGCCCGCGTCATCGCCCTTCATCCACGGCACCCATCCGCGGTGCTCCCCACCTGGCCTTGTCTGTCTGCCTGCGGCCCGGCGAGGGGAGGGACAGACCCCGCAGCTCCGCTCACCCTGCCGTGTGTCCCCCGCACAGTCGCGAGGATCCTGAGCAATGGCACGTCACTCCCTGTCCTGGAGGGCCAGTCCCTGCGCCTCATCTGTGTGGCTGACAGCAACCCCCCTGCCAGGCTGAGCTGGTCCCGGGAGGGAAAAACCCTGCATCCCCCGCAGGCCTCGGCGCCCGGGGTCCTGGAGCTGTCCGGCGTAGCGGCTGGAGACGGAGGGGAATTCACCTGCAGGGCTCGGCACCCCCTGGGCTCCCAGCACCTTTCCTTGAGCCTCTCCGTGCAGAGTGAGTTGCAGGACAGGTGCTGGGGCGGGCGGCTCGGCCAGGTGTTTGGGCCGGGGGAGGGCTGAGGCCTGGGGACGGACCTTTATCCCCTCTCCTTTTTTCCAGGAAGCCCCTCTGGCTGCAGATGTGTGACTGAGGAACAGCAGGGCTCCCGGGCCCTGGTCATCACCCTGATCAGGGGGGCCCTCATGGGGGCCGGCTTCCTCCTCACCTACGGCCTCACCTGGATCTACTACACCAGGCTGGCCGAGCTGCCTCTCTCCAGGGAAGCCCAGTAATAAGCCCCTGAGTCCCAGGTGGGGCTGAGCTGTGCTGACCCCCCTGGGGCCAGAATTAAAGTGGCTGAATCCAATCTGAGACCCGTGCTGGCTGTGCAGGTGCCGAGCCCCGGTGATCAGGGCTGGAGGCCTGACTGAGCTCCTCCTTCTCAAGACAGAGCTGAGATGTGGGCACCAAGCCCAGAGGGACAGACGTGGGACATCACCGTCAGCTTCCTTCTGGAAACTCACACCCCACCGACTGCCCCTTGTGTCCTGCCTGCCCCACACCCACCCACTTACTCCCCCTCTCCCTGTTGGTCCTGCCCCAGCCCCAGCTCATCACCCTCCTCCCTACCCCTCCCACCCTCCTCCTCCCTCTCCACCCCCAGGCCTGCACAGGGAATGAGCTTGGGCTCTTATCCCCGTTACCCGAAACCTACCTTCTCAACACTTGCGTTTCTGGTCTCCTGAACTCCCTGTCAGTATAGACACGGATGCACAGTGTAGTCATGAACACAGCCTTGCTTTTTTATTTAAAGACTCTACCTCATTATGATTATTATAAAATATCATAGCATTTAATGGTAAGTGAAAATCTGTTAAACAATACAACATAAAAATTGATTTTACCATTTAATGCCTCTGTGGGGGTTATAGACCAACATTACATCTTAATCTTTTTTTGGATGTGTTTTATCTAAGGCTTTTTCTACATTTTTTTTTTTTTTTGATGCATAAAAGAAAGAAGCCAGACTTAGATTGAATAAACCACACAAATCTAAGAGTATAATTAGCCGAATTTTTACATATGTACACACTCTCGTTTCCATCCGGCTCAACATACAGATTCTTTCCAGCCCCCCACAAGTGGGTTTCTGGTGCTGTTTGCAGTCTACACAATCCTCTGGGGACCACCGTTCCCTCTCTGTCCATACAGATCTATCTGTATCGTCAGCTTTTCTCCATCTACCAGCAGAAGCAGACATCACATATACTTCAGTATCTGGCTTCTTTCAGTATGGGTTTTCTCCTTTATCCGGATAAATAGTTGATTTTTGGTTTTGGTATTGTTTTTGC